CTGTTTTATTATTTTATTTTATTTTATTTTATTTTATTTTATTTTATTATTTGATTTGACCATTTTGCCATGTCAACATAGAAGACAATTCTCATATAAAATTTAAAAAAAAAAAATCTTAAAAATATAATATAATCATTAAAGAATCTAAGGTTTTATTCATGACAAGCCATACTTATCTTCCTGTGTTTTTGTAGCATTTGATGTATTTATTAATATTCAATTCTATATAGGCTTAATTGAATGTATTATCCCGTACAATGTGAGCTGATGTTGATTAAGTCTTATAGGTAATAAATTGTGAAGTAAATTTTTTAGTTCAGGAATTAATTTTAATACACTGATTATACTAGTAGCTGACATAAAAATGACATAGAGCATATATTTTTGTACTGTATATAGGACAAAAAAATAATAAAAACTCAACGTGGGGCAAATATCATCCCAAATGGATTTAATGTGTGACACCGACAGGTTGCGACCCACCAGTTAAGAACCATAGATTAGAAGCAACAGCAAAGAAAAACAAAAAGTAATGAAAAAAAAGTCATAGATATACTTACCTGTCTATGATAGATTTGAAGTTCTGTAAAAGATTAACATGAATGAATGACTCGATGAATGAATGAGAACTTTATTCCAACAGATGTCAATATTCTCACCTGCAGCAATGTTAAATCTTCAGCGTTTATGGTTTGCTCCACTGTCCTGATCATGTCTGTAAGAGACGAGATCCTCCGTGCGTCGTCATCATCTCTGTTTTTCACAGCAGCGACCCTGTGCTCTTCCTCCTCCTTCAGTGCTGATAACCTGTGCTCTTCCTCCTCATAAAGAAACTGATGGAGCTTGAGAAACTCATCCTTCATTTGCCTGTCAACCCGATTGGCCTGATTCTAAGATAAAAAATTGACATTGATGAAATCTACTGACTGACCTTTTGACAAAAGCAACATATCTGATTAAATATAATATTAACCTTAATGTGCTCCAACGTAATAGCTGAAGATTGTCTTGCTTTATTGAATACCTCCAGCTTGCATTGCAGTACCTTCATGGCAGCATACATTTTATCCTGCAAATGAAATATTGTTTTTAAAAGTAAAACCAAGGATGTATTCCTTAATGTGTGTAAAACAGTACTTCAGGAAGGAGATTTTGCTTTGGGTATCACTTGGCATTAGCATCAGAAATGTCTATCACACATTTAATATTAAATTAAATTAATAATAAAAGAGAAACCAGGGTTATTATAGTTAACTACTACTAAAACTAAAAACATTCAAAAAACTTTCGTTACTTGAAATGAAGACGGACACAGTTTTTGTTTTATCCAGCTGTATTTACTCCAAGTGAAAGATATAACACTAACATGTCAGAACATTTTTATTTATTTTTTTATTTTAAAAACTGAATCACTGAGTTGGAAAAAGGATGACTCCCCTACTAAAAAAAACTTGTAAACTCAATCAGGTGTATCTAATCACCTTCTCAATGGCACACAAAGCCATTTGACTTTCAACTGTGATCAGCTGTGGTTGTTTTGATTATCTCAGCATGAAAAGAGCTTTCCTGGAGCATTTCAGTCATCGGTAGCGCATCTGAAGCAAACAATCAACTATGGGTGGCAAGGCACTATCAAAAGATTGCCGGGAGAAAGTTGTGGACAGGCACAAGTCAGGAGATGGATACAATTTGGCTTCAACACCAAATTATATATCTGGCAGAAATCCAAAACAGCTCACCATCCAAACAACAGCATTCCTCCAGTAAAGCATGGAGGTGGTAAAATCCTGTTTTGGGGTGTTTCTCTGCAGCAGGGACTGGAGTACTTGTCAGGATAGAAGGAAACATGGATGGGGCAAAATACTGTCAAATTCTTGAGGAAAATCTGCTGCCCTCTGCCAGAAAATTGTCAATGGGAAGAAGGTTTACCTTCCAACATGACAATGACCCAAAACACACAGCAAAACTGAGCACACAGTGGCTGAAGGAGAAAAGGGTGAATGTTTTGCATGGCCTAATCAGAGCCCAGACTTAAACCTCATTGAAAATCTGTGCAATGACTTGAAGACTGCAGTCCACAAACAGTCACCATCAAATTTAACTGAACTTGAGCAGTTCGGCAGAACTACTGGAGACAAATCCCAACAGACTAAAGGTTGTAATTAAAGCAAAAGGTGGTTCAACAAATTACTGACACAAGGGGGTGATCCTTTTTCCAACTCATGGATTCTGTTTTTTTATTTTTTTTATATCTTTCACTTGGTTGTTATGAGTTGCACTAAAAACGGGTGTGTGTGTGTGTGTGTGTGTGTGTGTGTGTTGTTTTAGTTATCATGATATATATATATAGCGAGAGAGAGAGAGAGTAATACAAATTTTAATAAAATAAAAATAATTAAAAATAAAGTAATAATTGTATTTTTTTTTTACCCTATGTGGATGTCTTTTGTATATGGTTTGTTAAATAAATTTGTTTATTGTTCATGTTTAGTGAGCTATGTTGACCCACAAAGATTGTATGAACAAATATGTATGTTTAACTTCGTTCCTAAAGATAAGAATAAAAATTAAGTTGAAAAAAAAAAAGGAATAAAAAATTTAGCTAAAATTAAAAAGTAAATAATATAAAAATAAAAACGTATCCAAGATATAAAAAACTATAATGGTATCTCAATGATACTAAAGTAACACTTGAACTTAAAAACGTAATAATCAATAGAATGATTTTTAATGGTTGAGGGCATTTACCACAAATTGTCCATGTTGTCATTTGCTTTAATTTTCACCTCAATTTGATTGGTTGCACACCTTTTTATGTTAACATCAAAAGATTTGGGAAGTGTTTTGTCTTCCCTTTTAAAAGCTAATATGTTTCTTTATAGTGCTATCCAAACTATGCGTAATAAGCATTGTATTTGCATTGAGCATTGGTTTTTTTTTCAGAACAGACCTACAACCCACCAGCTGAGAACGACCACTGCAGAAGAATTAAATGAATGAAGCCTTTCTTTTTCAACACAACCTTCTCTCTCCATGCGTTACCCTGATCCAACTGTGCAAGGATACTCTGAAAGATTTATGTCACATTTTGGAAGGAGTTGATCACATTTTCCCAGAATACAATAGGACGCCTATGCCACAATGGGAGCTTGAAGGAGGGGAATGCAGAAGGTGTTGTTTGAAAGCCTGCCATGGTCTTTTTGGCCGAACACACTGAGATAATGTCAAAGTGAACTTGATAAACAGCATTCTTGTGTTCTGCCGCTGTAAATCAGTAACAGCGGCATTGAGCACGACACAATGTAACACAGTTTGTCAAAACAATGTGGCACTGTCAAACTCTACCTTACAGTCCAGAGCCGCCTCTTCCGTGGGAGAGCAGTCGTGACCTTTGTGCATTTTTGAGGCTTGGCACACCACGCAGATAGGCTCCTGATCCACCAAACAGAAGAGTTTGAGCTTTTCCCCATGTCTCCAGCACAGGATGTTCGATCCAGATGCACTGCCCTGGCCTCTGCCCAGCTGAAACGCTTCACACAGGTTTTTGAGGGCCCGGTTTGAAGGGGGGCTCTTCTTGGAGGCTCTTCTCCTGCAGACGGGGCAGCTACGAAAGATCGCGCTCTCCCAAAAGTGCTTCAGACAGCTCCTGCAGAAACTATGGCTGCACGGCAAAAGCACTGGATCCTGGAAGATCTCGCAGCACACGGGACAGGAGAGGTCCTCTTCAGGAAGGTTTGCAGACATATCCTCTCGTAGGTACTGGGGTTTTAACAGGAGGGATTGTATTCTGCGTTAGACTTCGCAGCTGAAGCTGTTGTTGAGTTTGTGTTAAGCTGTTGTTGAGTTTGAGGTGTTCTCACTCCACTGGTTTCACGGAGCTCAGTCTGTCTTGACATGCATCAGTACAGAAGGAGGGGTCTAAGCACACTGAACTAGTAAAACTAGAAGTCAAGTGTTTTGAATGATGTCGAGAGCCGATGGTAGTTGATCCACATCCTTCAGCATGTTCCCGCAGTCTGATTTGAATAGTAGGTGTGGTTTCTTCCCATACATCACATTAAATACATTATTAATAGATAATGTGTATAAATGTACTTATGCATTGTGACATACACACATGCAAATCTCATTACTGTAATGCAAAACAATCATTCTAATTGTTTACATTGTAATTGTGTGATTCTCACATATCATGGTAGTTTTGGTGTTGTGCTGTTTAATTTATGCTAATTAAAATTATAACAGGAATTAATCTAATGCAGTACAAAGTATTGTAATGACAGCTATAAAATGCCTTAAGTCTGGGCTTAATTGTCATGAAAAAGGCACAGTGCCCAAAAAAATTAACACTCTATTGATTGATTGTAAATTATTGGAGTACGTTTTACAGGAAAATACTGTTTCTACTTCAAAATTTCATATTTAATTCAATGGGGGTTTTTTTTTTGTAATTATTTGTGAAATTTACTAGCAATTTCTGAGTGAAAATATTTTCAAAGTAAATCCTACACCATTTCAGTGTATTATATAGGCATAGCCGGATTTTTCAGATTTTTCTAGCTGTATGTTTGTGATATGTTGTGCATAGGCATATATGATGTTGATCTGATTTTATAGGCAAAACATTTATTTTTATTTTTATTAATATTGTATAGTAAATAAGCACATAAAGTATATATAGTATATTTTACCTAATTGGGTGACATTACATTATTATAAAATAATAATAATAATAATAATAATGCATTATTATAAAATAATAATAATAATAAATGATAGATAGATAGATAGATAGAGAGATAGATAGATAGATAGATAGAACCCAACGGAAATTATATATTCAAAAATATTCCAAATGGAACCTACAAGCTTTTTCTAATGGTTTCATGGTGTTGCCATATATATCTCCAAACGGACTTCTTATGATTGATTATTAAGCACATAGATCATATGTCTGTTTAAATGTCAGTCTAAAGCAAGGCTGTATTTGGATTGAAATGCAAGACGTAATAATTAAAGAATCCAAATAGGATTGATGGACCAGGGCCAGATATAATAATTTGGTAACACCTTACAATAAGGTTCAATTAGTTAATGTTAGTTAATGTATTAATTAACATGAATAAACAATGAGCAATGCAGTATTTATTCATCTTTGTTGATGTTAGTTAATTAAAATAGTCGTTCATTGTTAGTTCATGTTAATTCGCAGTGCATTAACTAATGTTAACAAGCACAACTTTTGATTTTAATAATGCATTAGTAAATGTTGAAATTAACATTAACTAAGATTAATAAATGCTGTAAAAGTGTTGTTCATTCTTAATTCATGTTAACTAATGAACCTTGTTCGAACCAATAATTTAGTATCAGCCATTGAAAATCCCACTGGTCAAGCACCAATCTATTTCATGCTCCAGTGTAGCATCCCACATAAAAAATACCATGGTACTACCATAGTTTATTATTGTAATGAGAAGCCATTTTCCATTCCCTTTGCAATATTTTTCAGACATGTCTTTATAGTCAGTGGTCTTTGGAGAGTCACCTATCATCTCCGTCCAAATCACAGGCAACATCCTATCCGGTGTCTCCACGAGCTCAAGGTCCTCCTTCTCTCCTCCAGTCTTGGTTACCATGGCGACCATAGGCCTATAATAGGCTATATTTACGTATGCATCCGAGTCTAGGCTATATTTCGTTAATCGCTGAAAGAAAATAACATCACATTCATCGGATTCATTGGAATCCGTAAAATGCACATAATCCACACGATTCCAAATATAAGTTAGAGAAACGTTCTTTAAAACAAGTATATGACAATATTAATTGTGAATAATCGATATACTATAATTATTTTCGTTGCATTTAATTATTTCCTCAGCATCATTTATTGTTTAGTATTTTTTTTATCCTTAATGAAATTTGAACTCTACATATTTGATGCTCATTTCATTCATTATTTCTTTTTTTTATTTCTAACGAGATAAATATTATTATTTTTTCATTTTTTTCTGTCTCTCTCTCTCTCTCTCTCTCTCTCTCTCTCTCTCTCTGTCTCTCTCTCTCTCTCAGTTCTAGGAGGTTATCAGCGATGAGCACGGCATTGATCCAACCGGAACATATCATGGAGACAGCGACCTGCAGCTAGACAGGATCAGCGTTTACTACAATGAGGCCACAGGTAGTTTTTTTAAATATCATAAAGGTTGCAGAAGCAAGAATTGTCAGCATCTTTATGCAATATTTAAATAAATATCATATTTGATGACAGCATAAATATTTAGTGGGATCTAAAGGTGACATTGAAATTCTGGGATGTAAAAGCAGTGCTTTTATCGCTAACAAATAAATAATAATAATAATAATAAATCAAATAAAAAAGCTAATAAATCAAATAAAAATGAGAAATGTTGCCTTGCCAACTAACTGAAATAAGTTTAACTAAAATGACAAAAGCACATAACAAAATTACGATAAATGAAATTAAAAGGACAACTGAATCTATAAAAATAAAAGCTCATTCAAAATAGGAATGAAAAATACCACAATTTGAGTTGAATTACTGAAATAAATGAACTTTTCCACAACATTCTAATTTATTGAGATGCACCTGTACAAATAATACTAAAATAACACTGTAAAGGTGCAAATTAAGTTTTCACATTTAATTTTTATGACAACAGATACTTATAATTATTTGTAATTATAATTACATTTATAATTATGAAAATTATATTATTATAATTATTATTTTATAGTCACTAATGAAAGGTAAGCAAAACTGTCACATTGTTAACTCCTTTGCACTTAAAAATGACAAAACCCAAGCTGATACTCTTTGAATCATTCTCAGTCATGGATAACATGATCATTAGGTTTTACACACACTCATTTTCAATAAGTGTTAAGCTGATTTGTATAAAATACTGATTTGTATCGTTTTTAGTAATGCAAAATATAAGCCAACATTGTGGTCTCAGGCTTTTTAAACCACTGCATGTGCACAGAAATCTGCATGCACATTGAAACAAATGTCTGGTTAGTATGACCTACTGTATCCGTCTCTTTGTTTAGGTGGGAAGTATGTTCCCCCTGCCATCTTGGTGGACCTGGAGCCTGGCACAATGGATTCAGTTCGTTCAGGACCCTTTGGACAGATATTTAGACCTGACAACTTTGTGTTTGGTAAGCTAATCTTTCATCAAATGTTTTTTTCAAGTACCTTTGTATTTCCATCACATGCTGCTATAGTATAATTTTACAAACTTAGTAGGTATGAATCCACACTGACAGCAATTAAATGGTCTCTTCTGTTGGATGCAAGAAGGAGTTCAAATTTGACATGGTGGATGCCTGCAAATCACTGTCAGAAGACTGATGGTGATGGTGCACTCTTATGAATGGGAGAAAGTTCAACACACAGTATGGCACAATAAGTCCCGCCTTCTAAATAAAAGAGCCACTCGCTCATTGCTAAAGTCATCACCAGCTACTGTTAGAAGCTCTGGTTGCACGTTGGCTTTACCAACCTGAAAACCTTTTTTAATGCTATTTCAGCACAAGAAACACCATTTATGGGACAGTATGTGCCAGATGTTGTTGCTAGTTTGAATTATGTTATGCAAATGTAAGTTTGGCCAGTTTTTGAGATTTCTGGATCTGCCCATTCAAGTAGATAGAGCTTGGTCTTGGATGCCTGAAACAGCTGCCTGAAGGTGTTGAAATTATGGCCTTTTCTTGAAAGGGACTTTCAACGCTACATTTTTATGATTGCAGGTCAGAGTGGTGCTGGAAACATCTGGGCCAAAGGTCACTACACAGAAGGAGCAGAGCTAGTGGACTCAGTATTGGATGTTGTTCGTAAGGAAGCAGAAAGCTGCGACTGTCTGCAAGGCTTTCAGCTCACCCACTCTCTCGGTGGAGGCACTGGCTCCGGCATGGGCACCCTCCTCATCAGCAAGATCCGTGAAGAATATCCCGACCGCATCATGAACACTTTCAGCGTGGTACCCTTACCCAAGGTGTCCGACACCGTGGTGGAGCCCTACAACGCCACGCTGTCCGTCCACCAGCTGGTTGAGAACACCGACGAGACCTACTGCATTGACAATGAAGCTCTCTACGACATCTGCTTCCGCACCCTTAAGCTCACCACACCAACCTACGGCGACCTCAACCATCTCGTCTCGGCCACCATGAGCGGCGTCACCACCTGCCTCCGCTTCCCCGGCCAGCTCAACGCCGACCTTCGCAAACTGGCAGTCAACATGGTGCCCTTCCCCCATCTCCACTTCTTCATGCCCGACTTTGCTCCACTCACCAGCCGAGGCAGCCAACAGTACCGCTCGCTCTCCGTGCCCGAGCTCACGCAGCAGATGTTCGACGCCAAGAACATGATGGCCACCTGCAACCCCCGTCACGGCCGCAACCTGACCGTGGCCGCTGTCTTCCGTGGACGCATGTCCATGAAGGAGGTGGATGAGCAGATGCTGAACGTCCAGAACAAGAACAGCAGCTACTTCATCAAGTGGATCCCCAACAACGTCAAGACCGACATCCCACCCCGCGGGCTCAAAATGGCAGCCACCTTCATCGGCAACAGCACGGCCATCCAGGAGCTCTTCAAGCGCATTTCCGAGCAGTTCACCGCTATGTTCAGGCGCAAGGCTTTCCTCCACTGTTACACCGGCGAGGGCATGGACGAGATGGAGTTCACAGAAGCCGAAAGCAACATGAACGACCTGGTGTCTGAGTACCAGCAGTACCAGGACGCCACCGCCGAAGAGGGCGAGTTCGAAGAGGAGGGCGAGGAGGAGGTCGCCTAAATCGCAACCATCTGCCGAAATAGTATTCCTTCCGCTCCATCCCCCACATTTCATCCTTCTCACCACAGACCAGTGCTCTCCAGAACAATGAATGGGTTTTTACATTCAGTATCCGTCAATGACAGTCATCACCCCCACCAGTGACATTTTGAGGAATTGTGAACTTTTGGTTTGGTTTTGTGTTTCTGAATGTTCTGAATGCACAAATTCAACAAATTCTCTGTTTTGGAGGGATGATTATTTTTAAATCATACCCTATTTATTGCATCAAAATTTGTTAATACTTATATTTAAGGGTGGATAATTTTATCAGTTGTTTACTGCAACAATACACAACTACAATAACTTTGTCTAGTGCTCTTATGAAAGTTTATAGCATGATTGATGAAAATTTAACTATACTGAATGACATGGCAATGATGGCATAGACTTCTTCATGGCTAGTTTTTGCGTATTTCATTTCATTCTGTAATCTACTTGTTCTATAGATCTGTGTGTACTAGTGTTAAATGCTACTGTTTTCGACAGCGTTGATAACGTTTATGATAATATCATGATAATGTTTGCGTTTCCCTTACCGAATGTCTTTTTTTTTTTTTTTATTGAACATTATCAATTTACGCACTCATATGGAGAACAATAAAATGCATATGACAAAATATACACTTTACCAATCACATCTCCATCATACATAAATGTCCATGTGTGTATATATGTATATCTCTACATACAATAACAATAAACAAAACAAACATTCTTTAAACATTTGAGGGGGGTTCAAGGAGGGAAAAAAAAATAAAATAAATAAAGGGTACAAAATCTTACCAGTCTTAAAAGGAAAGAGACTCATACATGGTTATATACAATTCCCCAAGGGATTGATTATCTTTGGATAAGTGTTTTAAAGATTCTAAGTATTTTTTACATTCATTTTTAAAGCAATTTAAAGAGGGTTTACTGTTATTCCACTTACTTTTGTGTATATGATATTTACCCATTGTAATAATAATGTTTAACATCAATGACATGTTTTTCGAAAGACCATCTGCACAACCAAAAACCAAAACCTGAAACAAATTCAGTGATGGAATATCAGTGTTGATATCAATATTTAGCCAGCTGTAAAGATCCTGCCAGAACTTCAATGTGATTGGACAAGAAAAAAATAAATGTTCAATGGTTTCAGGCTCTTCTAAACAAAAAACACAAGGATCTACTTCAAAACGGAATCTTTTCCGTAAAATTTCGGCAGCTGGATACACATTATTAATAATCCTAAACTGAATATCCTTCATTTTAGGTAGAATTGGCCATTTAAGATAATTACAGAATTTGTTTTTAAATATTTCATTTTCAAATTGTTTTAATTTTGAAGGTGTATTGAAGTCTGCAAATAATTTACATTACCCCTTACCGAATGTCGTATCAGCAAAAACCTGTCCATGGGCTTTTTTGATTGCTTTCCGTTTAAGTGCCGGCGATGCAGTGTTGCCAGATATAGATAGGGCTACTAAAACAAACAAAAAACAAAAAATAAATTCTCGCAGCGATCATTTTCATATCACGGACGCTAAACATTCTTGCAAACTGTCTAAACTGAATTATACATGTCATGCAGGCATCCATATGAGGAGTTTAACAGCAAATTAGTCATTCAAAGAACTCGTTTTATTTTTGAACATGAAAAATTTACCGAGGTCCGGACCTCGTGGCCTCATAGCTGGTTACGGGCCTGGTTAAGCTATGAATGTTTTAATTAACATTAGTGGTTCTCAACCAGGTGAACACAGGATGGCTTAATTATTTAAAATAAGACAAAACAAGCTTTAAAATGAGCTAAAACAGTTGAAAACCAAAATGTGAGCTGACATATTTCTTATTTAAATTTGTTCCCTCAACAACTTTCATTTTTATTTATGAACCATGGTTCTCACAGTCTTGGAAAACTTGGATATATGAGGGAATAAATATACATTTTTCTAGTTATGTCAAGCTTTAAAATATTTCGTCGGGTAGAAATCACAAACAACTTGAAAAGTTATATTTTAATTCGATTTTTAAAATATTTATTTATTTAATTATTTAATATATTGCAACTGTTTTCGAAGCCTTTGAATATTGTCTTTGTCAATGTTTGGGGCCCTGAAGTCAAAAAGATTGAGATCATAAATTAATTTATTAGCCTATTAGTTTCCTGATATTATCTTTCAAATGCACAGTATGTCATTGTTACTATTGTATTTTGTTAAACCAAAGAAAATGGCAGCATACAACAACTGCCTGAAAGACAAACTAAACCACTAGAGAGCAGTGTTCCTGAAAACAACGTGCTGAACATGCTTTTCTTAGATCTAGTCCTCAGCTCTTGCAATGTTCTTGGCAAGAAAATCTGTGAGACAGCCTTAAGTGATGCTGACTAATTACTCTACTATGCTTCTTAAGAAAGATACTCCTCCATGCAGACCCAGATATTATTGTAGTGTCAGCACTCATAGGACATTTATGTAATGTCATAAAACTCCAAAGAAGCCTACACCTATCCAGCTACAAATTTTCAACAGATGTTTGTGGATTGGGGTTAAGGGGTTAAGTTCCAACGCAGAAGTAAGCTATTTTCTGCCAATGTGCAAGAATTCTGATTCATTAGCTGCTGGGCAAATAATTAGAAGAATAACGGTAAACAGTAAATTAGTTTGCGCTACAATTAAGATAATACAATAATGTGATAACAAATACCAACTTGCAACATCGAGCAGAATAACAGACTGTTTTGTACAGCTCAAATAATTGTAAGCGGATGACACACTACAAAATAGCTGCACCCACTATTGTGTATAAAGAAATAATGCCCAATGGGTAAATAGACCATGTGTCAGAGAAACAAGTGCGCAGCCTTCTTTACAATTTTGTCTTTGAACTTCCGTTTTAATGGTAGCTCTGTACAGCGGATGTCATAACAAATGTCAGTACACTGGGAAGATTTTAACATGAGCGGTTCATTCATAAATTTGTACGACCTTACCTTAATACAAACGGAAGACAGAAGATGACCAGCACAGCACAGTCCTGCTAAATTTCACAATCCACACCTGTTCACCATATCACGGCACAGCAACTTATTTTTGTTGCATAGTAACATTCTATGATGTTAGCTTCAGGGGAAGAATAACACTTAATGAATTAGCTAAATATTATAATGTTTTAATGAAAATTTGTGCTGTCTCCTCAATATTTTATAAAAGCAAAGGCACCTCGCCGTGCTGTATTGTAAATATAGTGAGTGTTGTGCCTAACAAAACCCATTAGCAGTGATTAATTTTAAATATAAACGGCACGATTTAACAGATTCTAAAAAGCTGAAATGTGAAAAGGCACTCCAGTGAAACAGAATGCATTACATATTTGAGTGTAAACATTCATGCAATGATAAAAGAATCAAAAATGATTCCAAGTAGAATTCATTGTTGCATTGATCAAATTTCTGGAAAATTTATATTAGATTAAATAATATAGGTAAGAAAACATTACTGAGGTAAATCGAGACAAATACAGCTATTGAAATAATTTGAGAAGTGGTTTCAACAAACATATATGAGAGCATGAACATCTTATATTGTGAGCAAATTGATTTGGATAAATATTTAAAGGTGTAGTGTGCATAATCTAGTGCCAACAAACAGAAATGCAAAAATAATGACTAATTTAAACAAGCTTCCGTTATTCAGTCAAACATATAGTCCCGCCCCCAAATTCACACCATTGGTTAGCTGATGCCGTTAAAGTGATAGTTCACCCAAAAACATTTTTTTTCCCATACTATGGAAGTCAGTGGCTACTGTCAACTTGTTTGGTTACCAACATTTTTAAAAATATCTTTCTGCTCAACAGAAGAAAGAAACTCATACAGGTTTTGAACAACTTGAGGGTGAGTAAATGATGACAGAATTTTCATTTTTGGGTGAACTATCCCTTTTAAGTCTGGCCCATTCTGAATGCAAAACAAACAAACTGCAATTCTGTTTTGTGCCACTAGGGGTGCAGAAATTACATGCTTCACCTTTAAATTTATCTTAACACTACATACAAACATCAGCATTTGTATATGTAACGCAACCATTAAAACAGGTAACACAACACAAAATGAAGTATTCAGAGAAAAGCTACCAGGCTAAAATGGCATACAATGCTAGAGAGCTGCACGTGCTGATCAATACGTTGCCTTTTGGAGAGAGAATCTGTTCCTTCAAGTTTCTTCCAAGTAGTCAGACTCGCTTTGTTTAGCCAAAACATAGGGCTAAGTTTGTGCCTTGTGTCTTCAGAAACGTTCCTTAGTTAATGTTTAACCGTTTAACCATTTTGGAATTGAGTCACTGTTATCATGTGCAGTCATAAACCAGTGTGTCAGATCAGTCTCTCCTCCTTGGGTAGTTTCAGAGCGTCAGGCGTCTCTACACTACGCACCCCTGACTGCTCCTCTGAGCTGGGTCGATACGTCCCTTCCGTTTGTCTCTTCTTCTTCACCACGCAGAACAGAAACAACAGAACCGCTGTCAAAATAGCCAGCAGTCCCAGGACCACAGTTGGTACCACAATTGCCACAATATTAGGGCCCTGGACAAAGAAAAGTTGGAGCGTTAATCAACTGAAGCAGTACAACAGGATGCTAAACTGCATTAAACACTGACTTGATCGCATAAAGAAATCAAATATTGTGATATGTTTTCATTCCAAGGCAATTCAGAATTGTAATAGAGTTTAAATTGAGGTAGCAAGCAAGATCCAGTGTTAAAATTTATTTTAAGATGTCCTTGTTACAGCGTAATTATATGTTTAAATGCTGAATAATATTAATTAACACCATGTACTTACTATAGGGTTGGGACTGGTTTAGGGCTAGTTGCATGTAATTATGCATAATTTACTGTTATTACTATAGTAATAACATGTAACAAGGACACTGAAAAGTGAGAAGTGTTACCAGATGCAGTAAACATTTCAATTTGAGGATATAGTAAAATGGAATGAAATTATTTTTATTCATTCATGTACTACACAGCACAACTGTAAAAAATAAAAAAAAATAAACAATTATTCCGCCTCAGCATCCGGTGTAAGCACTGAGAAATGTAGGGATTTGTGTGTAGAGTTTTGCAGTAACAGTTCACCAAATCTGACTCATGTGTTAAAGCAGGGAAATA